GCGCCCGGCCCATTTTGTCTTTTAAAATAAGTGTCAAAAGACAAAATACTGGCCAGGTATGTTGGTTCACTCCTGTAATCCCAGCACTTTGGGAGGCCAAGGTGGAAGGATGGCTTGAGGCCAAGAGTTTGAAAAAAAAAATTATGGTAATGATTATGTGATTATACTGAGATCATATAATCATATTTATATGATTATACTGGGATAATCATGTAAGGAAAAAATGGGATAAATGTAAGTTACTGCAAGTGAAAAGGAAACATGGTACACTGCATAGCTTTCCAGAGCTAATGCATGGTAGTAAGAATCGCAGTTAGAGCCAGCACAGTGGCTCGCGCCTGTAATTCCAGCACTTTAGGAAGCTGAGGCAGGAGGATCGCTTCAGCTCAGAAGTTCAGCCTGGGTAAAATAGCAATAATCTCATCTCTACAAAAAATAAAAAATATTAGGTTTAGTAGCATGTGCCTGTACTCCCAGCTACTCAGGAGGCTGAGGCTGGGGGATTTCCTGAGCCTGGAAGCTGGAGGCTGTAGTGAGCTATGATTGCACCACTGCACTCCAGCCTGGGTGACAGAATGAGACCACATCTCAAAGATAAATAAATAAAAATACATATTTTTTAAAATGCAATGGGACATGGGCTCTGTGACCAGGCTGTCTATGTGCAGAGCCCACATCCAAGGCCTGGCAGGGCAGCTCTGTCCCACTCCCACTCTACCTGGCTCCTGTGCCCACAGGCTGCTCCGTTACTGAGGCTGTGATGATTCTGGGGAACAAGCTCAGAGATTACCAGGGCCATTTCAACCCCACCCACCTGCTGGCCCTCTGTGACTACTTCCACCACACCTTCATCCACCACTACAAACTCTACCAGTATGTCCTGGGCCAGGACCAGCAGGTCGACCTGACCGTTGCCCACCTGGAGGTGTGCATGCCACCCCAGCCCCTCCCGCTGGCCGAGGGCATGGACAGGGGCTTGTGGACCCACGAGCAGCAGGTGGCTGCGCTGACCGAGGCCGAGGCACAGAAGCGCGCCGACATGCTGCTCCTGAAGGAAGCGCTGCTCCTGGAGCAGGAGAACTCGCTGCAGAAGGCGTTCACCTCCGCCATGCCCGCGCACCCCAGCCAGGTCCTGGAGAGACAGGTGAGGCTCTGCCTACTTGCCAAGGGTGGGCACCTAGACCTGCAAGGACATCAGTCTGGGCTGGAGTCACTGCAGATGGGAACACATCGTTGGCACACAGGGGAGGGGGAGAGAAGCAGGGAGGAATCCAGAGTCTAGCCATGGGCTTCGAGTGCACCTTGTCATGCAATGTCCCTGCAAGGGAGAAATTCATGTCCCTATTTTAGTGATGAGACGACTGAGGCTCAGAGAACTTATCAACTCACAAGGTCACCAAGCTAGCATGTGGTAGAGTTCACGTTCAGACTGAGACCTGGCTGACCCTGCACTCTAAGCTCCTTCTTCTGTCTCATTTATCAGTGACAGATTCCACCAAGAGAGTCAGGAAAAAGACCCCAGCCTTGGAACTGCAGCGATTCTCCACAGCTGGCATGTACCCAGGCTGGGGGAGAAGATGGAGGAAGCACGGACAGGGGGACAGCTTCTGGAGGGTCATGTGACCAGGGAGACAAAGGGTGGAGCTGGGGCCCAGGGAAGACGTGGAAGGATCTGGTGCCTAAACCTCAGACTTGGGACTGCTCTCTTGGAGGGTCTGCCAGACCACTGGGGCTCTAGCTGCCAGCATTTCCCACGACCAGCTCTTCAATGACTGGGACGAGCCCGGCCCCAGAGCAGCTGACTTCCTGAGGGCCTGGCCAAGACTCCATTAGTTTCTTAGCTACACACAGGCACTGAAGTCATCATTGTTGCATCATCTTTGAACATACTTTGAGAGACAAGTATGTGCATGTGTGTGTATGTGTGTGTGCGTGTGTTTCAGGCGTTGGAGTGTGGGAGTTGCAGGGCCTGTGAGTTCCAAGTGGTTTTGGTTTCTGAATCATCAGCTGAAGAGCAAATGGCCCTAGGAAGTATTTCTTTAGGGACACACACACACACACACACACACACACACACGAAAATCTCTAAAGAACAATGAACACAGCAGCCTGGATGGTGCTCATCTAAGTAAGGTTAAGTCTCCACACAAATTGCACATCGAGGAGCCATGTAACCTTAGCTCATGAAGACATTCAATAGGAACCCAACAAAACCCATGCAATAGTCTATGTCTCTGGCCCCCTGCCAGGGACCTTGTTCTAGCATGCCGGGTGGCAGTGTAGAGGCAGGGAGGCTGGCCACAGTGGGAGAGATTGGCCCTTAATGCCCTGCATGTCCCACAGCTCTTCCTCCCTGCTACTCCCAGCTCCATGTCCAGCCTCCAGCACGGCACTGCTGGCCCCTGCCTGGCAGAGCTGGTGAGCCAGGGCCCCCTACGCCATGTGCCCCAGCCATGCACCTGAGATGGGGCACTCAGAGTCATAGAATAAACACAGCCCATTCTTGCCAGGTGTGGTGGCTCACACCTGTAATCCCAGCACTTAGAGAGGCCAAGGCAGGCGGATCACCTGAGGTCGGCAGTTCGAAACCAGCCTGACCAACATAGAGAAACCCCACCTCTACTAAAAATACAAAAGTAGCCAGGTGTGGTGGCACACGCCTGTAATCCCAGCTATTCTGGAGGCTGAGGCAGGAGAATCGCTTGAACCCGGGAGGCGGAGGTTGCAGTAAGCTGGAATAGCGCCATTGCACTCCAGACTGGGCAAAAAGAGCGAAACTCCATCTCAAAAAAATAATGATAATAAAAATAATAATGTTATGGAAGAACATTATTTTCTACAAAAACAACCGAAGGGATATTCTGGGGAAATGTACAATTTTGCATACATTTTAAGTGAAATACGAGATCTCAAATAAATGCACTACAGACAACCAATGGCTCCCAGCATCTCCCCCAACAACAGCTCTGCTGTGTGGTTGCTCCGGCAGGGAGCCTGGAGAAACACAGCTACGTGGTCCATGTCTCCAGGCTCTGTGGGCCATGACGGGGTTGAACAACCAGGCTTCCTGTTCAACATGGTGGCTGGACGGTGGCTGCGTTTCTATTCCTTTTCTGGCTGGCTGGGTGGAGGATAAGCCTACTCTCTGAAGCAATTTTCCCGTCCTCTCCCATGACGTTGCCACTAGAACTCTGAGAGGTGAGAATAAGGATGATGGGGGATGGGGCATCCAGATGGAGCCTGCATTGCTCAGGGAGTAGAGTCTCTAGGAAATATGGCAGTGGCCAGTGGGCCCAGGACAAATGACACACTCAAACAGCATGGCCGCCACTCTAAGCCAGAAAAGAAAAGGGAGGGAGCGACTATTGGAACCCAAAAAGAGAGCTTTAGTTATAGGCAAGTGCTATAACTTGCCTATAACTAAAGGACAGGAAGGACAGGAAGGGTGACCATGGGTAGAGGTCCCCTGCCATGGCCAGCCCACAGCTGGTCAGAAGGTGGGACCTCCCCCATCCTCAGACCTCCCGCCCCTAGTTGGCTGAAGTCAACCAGAAGCCAGAGGTCAAGGCAGCCATGGCGCATACTCAGGGTGAGATGGGTGGACAGTAGACACATTCTTGGACCCACAATGGCGTCTGAGTTGAGAACCAGATCCCACGAGGCTCCCCAGCCCCGCTCACTGGTCCTCCCCATTCCTTACAGGAGCTGGAGAGCCTTGTCCACCAGGCCGTCCACATCCAGATGGAGCTCCTGCAGGAGCTGCTGCAGTGCCAGATCCAGAACACTTTCGCCATCTTGGACCTGAAGCTTCAGAAGAAGACTCTGAACCTCAACGCCCCTGCCCCTTTCCCACCCCCCATCACCAGCCACGCAGGCCAGGAGGAAGCCCTGAAGCCCCACAAAGCAAGTAAAGGAAAGAAAGCGAAGGCAAGCAAGTAGAAGGCCCCGACCGCCACCCCAGACTGACTGGGGACCAGCCATCCACAGCCGTGAGTTGTGCGGCATGGTGAGCTCAGCACCCACAGAGACTTCTTGCGATAAAAAGAAACAAACCCATGCTGTCTGGTCTCTGTCTTGGAAACCACCTGCTACCACCTAAAATCCCATCCAAACAATTTCCGTTGAGTGACAGGAGATGGTTATGCAGCTCTGCTAAGCACAGAGCTTTGCTCTGGGGGCACTGGTCATGTGCTGACAAGCCTGACCTCAGCTGAAGATGGAGCCACCCAAGGGTACAAGCAGGTAATAATACAAGCAGGGTGCCCCACACACCAGTGAAGCCCTCCAGGGAACCCCGTACTATGTAACGAGAATCTATCCTGGGATTCTTCCTCCTGCCATTTCCACCTCAGGCTTCACTGCATGCAGCCCAGCCTGCAGCTCTCCCACAAAAGGACCCAGAGCCCTGTGCCCTCCAGAAAATTCCTTCTCCCAGGAGCATCTGCACTGTCTGAACTCAGGAAGGGGGCAGGTGCTGTCCCAGAGGTTGGAATCCTGGCCTGGAGCCCTCTCTGCTATGGATCCACTGTGTGACACTGCATGCGTCCCTTTCATCCCTGGGACCCAGCTCTCTCTCCTGTGGAGCAGGGGTGCTGTCGGATGGTGTCTCAGGTCCCTCTCTCACTAAGATGTACTAGGAGAAAGACAGGGTGACGTTTGCTCTTCCCATGTGTCAAGGGTTTCAAGGTTCAAGGAGCATGAGAACCTAATCAAAGTTACAGCAGAGCGCAGAAGCCCTCCCGCTTCCATGCTGTTTCCTGGGGGTGTTGTGCCTCTCATGCAAACAGTGGCAAAAGTCCTGGAGCAGTGGGTTTGACTGGTGACTTTGGCCCTCAAAATCAGGACAGTGAGGGGGTCACCATGTGCTGCCTCTTCCCAAGCCGGAGACCGCCCCTGCCCTGCTCTGCCATCGCCTGCTGCATCCCTTATGCCCAATGGGGCAGGCCCATGTCATTAGCTCATTCCGCCCGTCTCTCCTTTGCTACCTACTTTCTAGTTTGTGCCACCAGAGGTGCACTTGGTGTCCGTGTTTCCAGGCAGAGTTGGCTGCCTTTGGCGGCTGGGGGGGCACTTAGTGACGGGTGCCCTGCAGAAGGAGCAGAACAGCCCTCTGCAGCACTGGCAGAGAAGTCCAGGACAAAGGAGCCCCCAATGGGGAAGGCAGCCTCACTGGGAGCTGCACTCCAGACTCTCCTCCCATCTCACCCTTTTGCCACAGCCAGATGTGTTGATCCCCAAGAAGCCTGATGAACTTCTAACACCTCTTGGGACAGAGGAAGGAGGTTCTGGTAGTTTCTTTTTTATTCCTTCCTTCCCCTTTCATTCCATAAACATTTTTGAACAACTACATCTACTGCCTGGATGAAACCACTATGGTCCCGAGGGAAGTGTGAGAGCTGCCATCGGATCCTGTCTAGGGCCTCACCAGGGTCCCAGACACCCCCGCAGCCAGTGTGGATGGGAGTGTGCGTGTGTGTGTGTACTCATATGTGTGCGGGGAAGCTGGTGAAGGGGCAAGTGGGTACAGCTTCTACATGGGCCATGTGCTGGAGACCAACAATCTACACCTGGCTGACTTCCACGTGACTTCCGTATCATTTGGTGGCATTTGTTCAAGGACAAGCAGAGGAGGCCTGGGGGCCTGGCATCATCTGAGAGGCAAGGCTGGAGAAGAGGAGGGGCCCTGCTGGATCAGGAGGCCTTCCAAACGCGTGAGTGAACCAAGCGGCCTTGGGAAGAGTTGCATTTCAGGCGACCGGGTCCTGAGCCAGCGTGGGAAGCCGCCCTTCTCCCTCAGTCCCCACTGGCATCTGCAGGAGTCCCAGGTGTGGTGCTCTGTAAATATGTATTTTGTGTGTAGCTGAGCTGCATTTATGAAGGGGTCAGTAACAGTTGGGAGAGTCACAGGGGTCTGAAATGTGGAGGGAAGCCACAGCAGTGAGTGGAAGAAAGGCCTTGGGCCCCAGCCTCCATGGAAGTCAAAACTGGGCTTTCTGTCTCAAGCTAAGGATAGCAAATGGGTGGGCCCTGGGAAAACTCCTCCCTCCCATCTTCCTGAGGAGCAGCAGGGAGCCACCCTGTTACAGCAGACATGGGGTGGACCCCCAGTCCACTGTGGGACAGTGGACCTCCCACCCAAGCCCCTGACTCAATGCAAGGCCTAAGCTCTCACACGCAGGAGTGAAGACCCTAAACTGGGGAACTGTCCCCAGACCCATCTGAAACGGAATACCTGCTGGAGCCTGTGGATAAAGGGACCATCCTGGGTGACTTCTCTTATCCCGGTGTTGGGCCTGCTTTGGCATGCACCCCAGCTTTGCATTGTTTAGTGGAGTTCCATGAAGACTTGCTCTAAGAGAAGCTGCAGCAGTAGGTGGCTCCCCACCTGGGCTTCAGCTCCTGCCATGACTGCATTCTGTGGTGTGGGACTCTCCGGGTGTGTAGGCACGTGGGTGTGCAGTGAGTGAGTTCTCACCCACGCTCAAGCCTGGAACTAGAAGAGGCAGAGCGCTGACCTGCCCCTCCCAACCCTCTCCTGACTCAGTGGAACCCTTCAAAAACAGCGCCCGGACCCTTCCTGAGATACTGAAATGCAGGCAGACACGAGCAACTAGGGAGAGCCAGCTCTTCCCACGGTGGTGGTCCTGAGAGGGGAGCTTGGCACCGCTGCTCCCACCGGCTGCTTAGCACCTCAGCCACTTGCAAGACACATGAAGCCACCAGGCTCTGGGGTCAGTGGGAAACGTGAGAGAGACAAGCCAGGCACATAGGCAGTATGGCCAGGAGCTGGGAAGAAGAAGAACTCACAGAGGGGAGGCCCCACGGCCTTGCTGCAATGACTTAGCTACTTACCACCTGCTGCAAAGCTACAGCCATGCACTTATCTTAGTGTCTGCCACTGCATTTTCATTTTCCAATAAACCCTTTTGGTGGCAATGAACTCAACAAACAGGGAAAGTGCCTGAGTAATGACAATGTAAGTATACGGACTTTCTCTTTTTCAAGAAAGTTAATGATGAAACTGTAACATGCAAAAAGTTGTTCTCCGCATCTACCAGGAACCACAGCAATGCCATCAACTACCCAGAAAGCAAGTCACCAATCTGCTCGAGAAGCATCAGCAGCTACCTCAAAGATTCACAGGAACTTTAAGAAGCCTGTCCAGGCTGGGCAGGGTGGCTCACACGAGGTCAGGAGCTTGAGACCAGTCTGGCCAATATGGTAAAACCCTATCTCTACTAAAAATACAGAAGTTAGCTAGCTGTGGTGGAGCATATCTGTAGTCCTGGCTTCTTAGGAGGCGGAGGCAGGAGAATCGCTTGTACCCGGGAGGCGGAGATTGCAGTGAGCCAAAATTGTACCACTGCACTCCAGCCTGAGCAACAGAGCAAGATTCCATCTCAAAAAAAAAAAAAAAAAAAAAAAAAAACCTGTCCAGAATCCAGAATCCTCAATTTACATACAGAGGGGCAACTGAGCAGGTGGCAGTTTAAAATTGAGCTTGTTCTGTGTTCTAAGTTTTCTTATTTGCAAGCTGAAAAGAAAGCAGTGGTCATTCACTGGATAGCATCTCAGCAGAATTTCACATATGGTGAAACAATACCAGTTTTAGCGTCACCAGATGCCTCAACAGAAACATCAGTCAATTCCAGTAATGGTCCACTTTATTCATCCAATTCTGGCAAAGTAAAGCTTTTGGGAATTTATTCTGGTGCAGGTAAAAACCTTTCACCACTGCAGATACTATTGGAACTACACTTAAAAAGTTCAACAGTAAAGACAAAAGTACTTGTTTTTAAGGTGATTACACAAATATAAATGTTTGTAGATCTTACCACCTTGGTAAAAACAATGGTCTCACTAGCATTTATCAACAACCGAGATATATTTAGGCCAGAGATGTATTCACAATTCGCTGTTTGATAAGCTGGGTGGGTGGCTCACACGTGTAATCCCAGCACTTGGGGAGGCCAAGGCCGGCAAATCATGAGGTCAAGAGATCAAGACCATCTTGGCCAACATGGTGAATCCTCTAAAAGAAAAAACAATAAACCAAAAAAACATAATTCGTACTGGATAGAAACCCTACAATGTGAGGAATGTGGTAAAGCCTTTTTTTTTTTATTATTTTATTTTTAAGACATGGTTTCACCATGTTGGCCAGGCTGGTCTTGAACTCCTGACCTCAGGTGATCTGCCCACCTCGGCCTCCCAAAGCGCTGAGATTACAGGTGTAAGCCACCACACCCAGCCGTGGCAAAGCTTTTAACCAATCTCCAAACCTTACTACACGTAAGATAATTCATACTGGAGAGAAACCCTACAAATGTGCTTCAAAGTTTTGGTTAAATTAATTTCAAAATATAGTTACTACAATTATAGTAGATGGAAAATTTCTTAATGATGATTTTGAGATACTTGTTAGTTTCTAGAAATGCTACTGACGGGCTGAAAATGGTGGCTCACACCTGTAATCCCAGCACTCTGAGAGGACGAGATGGGCAGATCACGAGTTCAGGAGTTTGAAACCAGCCTGACCAATATGGTGAAACCTTGTCTCTACAAAAAATACAAAAATGAGCCTGGTGTGGTGGTGCGCTTCTGTAGTCCCAGCTACTCGGGAGGCTGAGGCAGAAGAATTGCTTGAACCCAGGAGGAGGAGGTTGCAGTGAGCCGAGATTGCACCACTGCACTCCAGCCTGGATGACAGAGAGAGACTTTGTCTCAAAAAATAATAATTGTTATGATAAATAGTACTAGGAAAACTGGCTAGTCATATACAGAAAATGTGTGGAAGCCTACCTCTTTCCATATAGAAAATATATGTCAAGATAGATTAAAGACTTATCTGTGAGTCTTCAAGCTACAGAAGTCCTATAACACTTAGAAATACTCTTCTAGACACTGGTTCCTGGAATGAATTTCTGAATAACATCCTAAAAGTGAGTGCAATGAAAATAAAAATCAAAACTTTGCATCTAATTAAACTTAAAGAGCTTCTGCACAGCCAAAGAAACTATCAACAAAGGAAACAGGCACCCTACAATATGAAATAA